AGGAAGTTACATTGCTGATCTAGATTTTTTTTTGCAATGACAATGATGACAAATACACTGATGAAAGTGATTTGAAGTATCAACGATTATAGATTGGTGGATCCCATTCTGATATAACTGACTCTCCGACCTACATCATTACATCGACTATCCCAAGGATTTTATGTGCATTTATAAATGTTCATCCCTTCTTGCCTTTAAAGATCAGCCTTTCCAGAAACAGAATAAATATTTAAATATTCAGAAGCAACATTCTTCTCAAGTGTCGGAGGAGGACAGTTTTTGCAGCCCTAGTCGGGGGTCCATGATGCCGTTTTTGTCAGGGGCCCAGAATTCCTAGCTACGCCGCTGCTTCCAAGATACTTCAATCATCTATTTATTCACTTAATAAAATACACAGCAATTCAAAAGCATGTGAAACAAAACAAGTGTGTTTTAGAAGAAAAATGCCTTCCAGCAACATGAAGTAGCTTAATATCAGGAATCAATGTTAAAATATACTTAACACAAAATACTAATGAATAAAAGGCGGTGATAATTAAGCACAGCTGAGGCGTCTGACTGGTTTCCACAGCACTGACTCATCTCCAGGGGGTAGCGTCCAGATTGCCTCCGATGAAAAGGAGCAACTGGCAATGAAAGGAATAAACGCAAACTAGATTAATCATAAAAAATAACAAGCCAGGGAGGGAGAGCAGAGGACTTCAAATAAGCAGCAGTGGGTTGTTTATGGGTGTGTAGCGTAAGTACGAACCCACGACTTGCTTTGATAATGCATCTCGCCAGACGTCCTTGGACTCGGCTAGTTTTTCCTCCATTTTTCTGAAATGTCAGTCAAAGCGCGGTCAGAATTCAATAGTCAGTACCCAGGTTGGTGGATTTCACAGCGGTGTGGAAAACCACAGGGGTGGAAGTTATCAATATGAAAGTTCTCAGAGAAAACACTCGGCATTCTACACGCCACAACGTGACAAAGGAACGCAGCGAGAAGTCAGTGCTCAAATGGCATCTTTGCATTCAAGACTCTCCCTGCGTGGGCTCCGTGTGACCTGCAGGACATACGTGGTGTTCCTCCAAAACCAAACAGAAATCGATCCGTGAAGGAAGGCAGCTGAAGTAGTGAGAACTCCAGGGCTGTAAGGAAAACTGATTTTTACTACAGCTCAGCTCTGGATTGCTTACAAAAGCCATTGTTTGAGCAGTGGGTCACTTCACCTGGTATCATGTAAAGCAGTGTTTCTCAAACCGGTCCGCAGGGATCTGGCAGTCTGGGAGCTGGCAGGGAGCAAAAACGTGGGCTGTCTGGCAGGGTGCTGGGAAGGAGCAAAAACGTGGACTGTTTGGGGGTCCCTGAAGACCGGGTTGAGAAACACTGAAGTAGAGCAGGTAGTAAATCACTTCTGAAAAAGACCAGGCAGCAGTTTACAGCTGCCCAGTGTGCATTCACTCACCTCCTCAGCCATGTTATTGTGCCAGTACTGGAACCAGTTCAAAACCTAAATCAGAATGGAGGTGTGTCACAATACGGTTCTCATCTTGACTACATCTGAAACAGAATTCACACCAAAGTGTGAAACTGTCTGTGAGGTCCAGCCATTGTACTCTTTACCCTTTGTCCATCCCGTCCTACACAGGACGTGAACCCTGTGACATACACTTCAGAGCACAACTTGTGTGTGTTTCCTCAGTGTTACATGTAAATGCTAACACACACAGCTCCTACAGGGATTGGAAAATGAAACTGCAACACCTGGCCAATAGTGTTTGAGGTTTCACGCCTACATATGTGTGGCCTGGTGGCCACACATCTTCACCGACTGCACATTCCATTAGTAAGAGCAAAGTCTGAAGGTTGAATTAGCAGAGCAATAGTACAGCTGTACATAAAATATTGCAACACACACAATGTAATAAGAGACATATCAGTTCAAAAGAGGACAAATTGTTGGTGTACATCTTGCTGGTGCATCTGTGACCAGAACAGCAAGTCTCTGTGGTGTATCGAGCGCCATGGTGCCCGGGGTAATGTCGGCATACCACCAAGAAGGACACACGGCATCCAACAGGAGTAACTGTGGATGCATGAGGAAGCTGTCTGAAAGGGATGCCCGGGCTCAATTATCAGCAGGGCTTCAGATGACGGGGGGAACACTGAGCCAGATGCTAGCTTTTCGGTGCTATATGGACGTATATTTACGCCCAAGATTTGGTAAGCAGATCAGTACTATGCCTAAAATATCAATGAGATGCATTTTGTTACAGCCAAAAGTTAGTAATTAGTATAAACTTGGCGTATCTTTATGTTTATTAAAATCAGTTAGAGGAGCAACTGCATAATACTGTTGTGGTATGCTATGGTTTGGTATATTTCAGTGTGATATGCACTGAAGTGACAGCGAAGAAAGGAACAGCTCAGCAGCTATGATATCTTTAAAAGAGATCTTGTGGATAAACAAGGTAAAAAGACGGTGGTGTGGTGGTACTTTTTGCAATTTAAAGTCTGACATTAACAGTCATGTGAAAAAATTAGGACACCCCATTAAATATTTAGTTCTTTATTAAGAAATATCAACATATCAGTATTAAATCTTTCAAATTACAGTGGAACCTCGGATTACGAGTAACGTGGTTTACGAGTGTTCCGCAAGACACGCAAAGATTTTTTATAAATTTTGACTTGAAAACCGAGCAAGTCCTGGTTTACAAGCGCCAAGTATCATCAAAAATCATATGGCACACATGCGCTCCTTGTTTTTCGTTTTTACGTGCGCTCCGCTTCCGTGCGCTTCTTGTTTTGATGCCGAGCGCATGTTATCACAACTGAACCAATGGTTATTCACTTTCTCACGTTGTGGAATTGTGGGTAATCGTCTCCCATGCTCAGTCTCAGTCGGCATGCCTCATTCGTATAGTCAAAATTTAGTAGAAAAGCACCACTATGGCGTTAAATTAGTGCCAAAAGTCAAACCGTGCTCGCGAGCTGAAAACTCATCCTATCTACGCGCTCGCATCTGCACAGCACTCGCTCGCTCGACAGGATGAATTTTGACACTTTGGAGGCGGGAACAGTGGCTAATATCTCCATTCCTTTGATTGGTTTTTTAAAATATTGACTATGATTGGCCATTTGTTTTGGTAGAAGATGAAGATAAATTGTCACTGACCCCGGTTAAGTTAGCCTCATATGGATTATTAAAAAACATTTGCCAGGAACGCCACAGGGTCAATATTCATGGTCGGGCTGCTCTATCCAAACCTTTGGTCACTCATGCCAATGTCAGACATTGGTTTCAATGGGACCAGCAGTGCAAATCTTGGGCTGTGGACAGTGTGAAATGTATTGTTCTCTGACGAATCCTCTTCCACTCTTTCCCAAATCCAAAAGTTATGGTGCGGAGAAGCACCAAAGAGGCTTACCACCCGGACTGTTGTACCCAGAGTGCAGTACAGGGATGTATCAGTGATGGTTTAGGCTGCAATAACATGGCATTCCTTAGGCCCACTACTTGTTCTAGATGGGCATGACACTAGCAAGGACTACCAAACCATTCTGGAGGTTCAAGCAATTAGCATTATACCCTGAAGGTGGTGTCATGTTTCAGGGTGATAGTGCACCAATACACACCGCAACTCTGGTGACAAAGGGGTTTGAAGAACAGGAACGTGAAGCTGAACATCTCCAATGGCCCACACATCCCAAAGTGGCTCAATCCATATTCAGACTGTTTTGGAGGAGAGTCAAGAAATGTTTTCCTCCAACAGCATCACATAGCAACCTGGCCACTGTTCTACAGGAGGAACGGCTCAAAATCATTCTAGCCACTATGCAGGACTTGGATCTATCATTTCCAAAATTAAATGGTGTAGTATTGACCACAAAAAGAGGCCCCACATCATGCCAATAAATTGTGGTCTAAAAGCAGGTGTTTTGGTTTCATTGTCCATCCCCTGAATAATCCCATTACGGTGGGGAGTCTCCAATCATTTCTATGGGGATAAACCTAATCTCAACTATGATAAGCTTAACTCCTACCCAGCCCTAACTTTAACTATAAGTAAGCAAAATACAAGACTTTTGGCAATTTTAATTGTTTGATTGCATTCAGAGATTAATAAAATTAAGGTTTATATTTTGGGGACCTTAAAAATATCCCAAGCTAAAAAGCAGCAGGCTTTACGTTGTCGTGGGGACATACAAACAGAAACACACAATTTGGCATGGGGCAATGGACTGAAATGAACACCATGCATTCATTCACATAACTGACTCTATATGGTAGAGCCAGCCCTACTACAACAGGACTAAAACGTTCCTGAAAAATCTCACGTTCACCAAGATCACATACTCTCCCACTCCGTTCTAAAATGGCACAAAGCAAACCAAGAGCACCATCTAGTGGGGTCAGAAAACACAGCAAATGGTTCATGAAGCGTTTGGCCATCATTAGCCAGGAGTTTTGAGCCACAGCCACCATGCAGCTGGGCATACACAGAGCACAAATACAACATATTACAGTATACGGAGGGCCACTGAAGGTAACATAGCTACAGACTACAAAAAGTTAATGAATTTAAAAAGCCTGCTGTGTTCTATATGAATTTGTCTAAATATTTTCAGAATCTAAGATTTTGACCAATGCAATGCATGAATGAACAAAATGTTCTTTTACATTGGAACACCAGTTTAATCGATTCATTGATAAGAAGATTCAAAAGAACGATTTGTTCATGAATTGGATATCACTATCGTTCACTTAGATAACTTTTTGCGTGCAAGTAGTGTTTGACCATATCCCAATTTAGATTACATAGTGCTTATCTCTCGTACTGAAAATCAAGGAAATACAAATTCGATTTTGCGTTGCAATGGACTTGGGAACTAATAAATCAATTGTGAGAGAAAACTGATTTGCAGTGTGGCATAATGCATTGTAGTAAGACTGACTGTACATTGATTGGCTACCCAAAACTGTTCAATTAAGAGCACACATCTCTCCAGATCAAGTTACATCAAGAAAGTTTTATTTACAAACAAACTGCTCTCTTGGACAAATTTTGAAAATCTTTTCAATCAGAAGACCATTTATCTGAACTCATAGAGGCATCTTCAGAGGCCTGCTTCTTCTGGCAGTGTAGGTCTGGTCCAGCGTTTGCTTCCCCTTCGCAGTGACCTGTTCACAGAGAGGTCTGGAGAGGTTTCGAGAACCCAAGCCAGCCCACCCTCAGAAGGGTCCGTATTGGCATGGTTCCGCAGGCTCCTACGGACAGAGCGACGGCCCCTCGAGGGATGCTGCAGGACGTCATCAATGCTGAAGTCCGGCAGCTGCCAGGGCAGCCCCTGATCAGTCCTGCCAGCATCCTGGCTGACCTCGGATGAATCAGCTGACGGAACCCCCATCACGGCCCCACCCTCCCATCTCGCCTCCTCACGTGCTCCTGATAGTGAGGGATCAGGCACCTGCTGGGCTGGCATCTGCTCCTCAGCAAGCATGTGAACCTGGCTGTCCTGCAACCGGCCGCTCCTCCGATGACTGTTCCCACCCCACCCCTTCCTCTTTCTACTTCTCTTTATCATCTTATTCACACTAATCTCACTCAGGCTTCCACCCACTTGTGGAGGAGCTACTGTATCTGAATCAGTTCCCGGTTCACTACATTCCTGCAGCATGTGCCAATCAGCATCACCTCCCTCTTTATGTGGATTAGAGTTCACCTGTGTGGATTCCTCCAGAGGATTGCCAGGGCCACTGGAGTGAGTGGGGGAGATGGAAAGGGCCTCGTCGGTCCCATCAGCTGGCTCCATCTCAATGGCGACCATGCAGCCAACACCTGGCCGCCTCCTACACCCCCTGCTGCCCTGCTGGTCCAGGCCAGATGAGGGACCCTCCTCTTCCAACGTGCCCCCTGCCATGTCATCTGAGTGTACCTTTGAGGGACCCTCGGTACGTGGGCAAAACCGCTTTCGCCACATAGCAGCTGCAGTGATGGCACTGGCAGTGAGGTCTGAACCCCTGGGGCCGGGGGTGGCATCAGGCACCTCCAAGGCAGGCCTCTCCATCTCTCCTAGGGGAACGAGCCATGGTGAGATGGCGGCGATGCCATCTTTGGCTTTTTCCTCTGTAGAGGCCATGTTACCTGAGGGCTGCTCTCTGGAGTGGTCAGGCTGCGGGGCAGGCGAGCTGCTGGCAGACAGCACAGCCTCGCTGATGGGGCTCAACGTGGGGTTCTTCGATGCATAGTCCCTCTTCCCATAGAGCGAGCGGTCCACCTCTTTGCTGCCCCAGTGCTTCTTACGCGAGGAGCCCTGCAGGAAGACAACCTTTAACCCTTTATCTGTTCAGAGCCGGAAGACGACTCTCCATGACAGCTGGTGGCATCCGAGTGCAATCTTAGGTCCTGCAAAAACTTAGCTACAGCACTGCACTAGAAGGTGCACAGTGCGAGCCTGCTTGCATACAGGTGCAGAGAAGAGGAGCCACCGATTTGCGCTGCCTTTTAAGGGGAAGTCCGAGCTTTGCCGATTTAAATTTAACCAAACACAAATTTTAGTCAAAGTTAAATTAGTAATGAATATAATGTATGCTAAATTACCAATATATGGCTTGGATGATAATGGCAATTCCAACAATTAGAGTCCGTTACGGCAATGAAAGACAGATGCAAGCTAAAGTCACTCGCTAAACAGAGATCAAAGACGTGATTTCCAGGAGCATTTTACATTTAAAGGGCTAGCTTTAGTTTTAATAAAGACAAAAAGAGCTGCGAAACGCTGGTATATTTGGATCCACAATGTAGAAACAGTGGGTTGCCAGTGGAGACTGTAGTGTCTGAGCTTTGAATCTTGGAAAAAGCAGGAGGATAAAAAAATAAAAAAATCCCCATACAGCCATGGCAGATGACAGTCTGAGGCATCTATTCTCAGAATCAGCATGGAAGAACACTTAATTTGAATATTTTTGTGAAACGTTCTGTTGCACAGAATAGCAACCATCAACTTAAACTGAAAAAGGTGGTCAGACATGACCAGATTGCACGAACAATGTTCTGTCGTTCCTATTGCAGATTAAGATAAATTTGGGGAAGTCAAATTCTTGATTGCTTTAGCACATTTCATGAAACACACTTAACATTCTCAGGACTGTATGAGCATTTCTCAAAACAATTCAAGCATACAACAAAGCTCTATGGTTTAGCTGCTAGCGCCTATAACTTACCCAAAACAATTAACTCATGTCTCAGAAGCACATAATTCCACCAATGAATTAGTCAGCGCCACCAAAATGAGAAGTACAATAAGCATTGTTTTAACCATGAGTCAAAATGCTTAGATATATTGTCAGTGCGTCAGTGTAAGTATGCTCCTGAGCTCCGTAATTCTGAATGATAGTCGGTTTCCATTTTCTCATTGTCAGTGACTGATCATTTTTCTTTAGAAAGACATGAATAGTTTCTTTCATGTCAAATAGCAGTTTCAACATTGCAAGCTTCTACATTACAGTATGTAAAGTTCACTGGCAAGAGAAAGCACTGGCATGTACTAAAAATGCCAATGGAGGAAAAACAGAATCATCTACCGTGGGAACCAAAAGTACAACAAGGTATATCACTTAAAATTTACAAAATATATTTTTAAAAATCATTTTGAAATCTTGGTTAGCTGTTTTGCACATGGTGGCTAATACAGTGATCACATACATATACAGTTTTGGTTGTAAAATTACTACAATGGTAAACTACACACTATTTTGACTAACTTGACTAAAGCAACTGAAAATTGTACCAAATTATGACAATTGAACAAAACCATTTGCGTGTATATACTAAAATATTTATAAATTTGAGATGTTCTGGGGTGCAGAAGTGACATTATGGTGTAAGGATTACATTTGTTGTGCTGCAAATGTCATGTGAGAAATGCTCCAAAGCAATAAAGAAACACTAACATTGTTAAAATAAATATTGTAAAAATGTATTTGTGGATCTTTTGTGGAGTACATTTAGCTATAGAAGTATAATTGTATTTCTATAAGACCTCCCACACACTGCCCAACCACACCACCCTTCCAAAATCTCTTGCCATCCCATATGAAATTTTTCCCTTTGGGGGTACGCAAGTACAGCAGGTTAAATAGGGTGATGTGAACAGGGCCTGCCCTTCAGCACAAGGCATCCAAACTAAACTTCTCCAGCAAAGCACGGCAGATAAGCAGCAAGTGGATTGGAAGCCATATCAGTGTGGGGAAAAATAAATCCTAAGCTTGGGTGAATTACATAGGGACGCGTGATATCACATCGTGATGTTAGATTTCCACAAGTAACTGCAATATTTATAAAACACAAAAGGTGAAATTACCTGAAATGAACTATTGCCATACAGAACATAATACACCAATAGAGTGCAAAATAAGATGGTGGTCTTGCCACAGCTTGTGTCAGACACAAAGCATTGCCGACAAATGCAATGTGATTATTGCGGCTGCACAATAAGACAATGCTGACACGACGCATTACGTAGCCCTAGTATTACGGCAATATGGTATACCAGTGTTTTGAAATCTTGAGAACAATATACAGTGGTACCTCAGTTCTCGAACTCATTAAAATTTCTCGAATTTCTTAAAAGTCGAACCAACCAGTTCGAGAAAAAGAAAAAAAAAAAAAAAAAAAAAAGACTTGCAGCTCAATCTGAATCTCAGAAGTCAAACCGTGAATGCCGACCTAAGAACTTGTACGTGCGGGGAAATGAGTCACGCGGCACGTCTCTCAGTGGAAACAAAGGGTAACGCTTCAGTCTCAGCCTCGCGTTCGCAGATAGCATCGTGCATGTTTAAATATGTATTCAGCTAGTGTAGACAGTAAAAATACATTTAGACAATGAGACAGCAACAGTAATTATGATAATATACATTTAAAAATAAAGATTTTCTTCACTATTTTAATATTAATAATAAACCATTAATACTTTTAATCATAATAATATTGTTGTGCCGAGCACGACGGAACGAAGACAAAGGCGCAGATGTCAGGGTATCGGGGAATACGGGGTTTAATTACAGGTAAGGCAGGCAAAACGCAGACGGACAATATAATGATCGGACTGGGGAAACAAACTGAAACGCGGACTAAATACAGAGGACTAATGACAACAACCAGAAACATCTGATCACACGGGGATTCCACACGGGGTTAACGATGGGGCGTGGCACACGGAAGGAGCGGACGATCGGAGCAGGACAAATTGTTTGGATACATTTATTTTCTTACTTTACAAATGACTGTTTTGATAAATGCGCTTAGATGTGTTTAGTACAGTATATGCTCTTGTTTTATCCAGTTCATTTTGTGTTTAAATGAAGAAAAAAAAAAAACATTTAGGTGTAATTTTTTGGGGCCAGGAACCAATTAATTGGTTTTCCATTATTTCTTATGGGGAAAATTCAATCACAGCTCAAACTTTTTATGGTTCGATCCAGACTTCTGAACGGATTAAATTCGAGTTCTGAGGTACCACTGTATCCCACAAATAAAACCACCAGATTTCTTAGACAACTGAGTTTGCACAGCACAGGGGACACAGCTGAGCAGCCACCTCACTACATGCGGCCAGTCTTCCCTAAATGTGTAAATCAGAGATAGTAGGGCTGTAACATACACATATGTGTCACGTGCCTTTTAGTTACATCATTTTGGGTTCAAAACGCACGATGAAACGAATGAATACAATTCTTGACACAGAACGGAACATGAATTCACAAAAAACATCACTCTTACTTTGGGGGTAAGTTGGTTATGGCTAATGCTGTAGTTTGGGAACATTTTGGTTTCCCAATAAATTACACAAACACTGGGGAGAAAGTAGTTAGTAAGACCAAGACTGCAGAGGTGTGGACTCGAGTCACATGACTTGGACTCGAGTTAGACTCGAGTCTCAATTTTAATGACACTGGTCTCGACTTGATAAAATCACAAAAGACTTGGCACTCGACTCGGACTTTAACACCAATGACTCGTGACTTCACTTGGACTTGAACCTTTTGACTTGAAAAGACTTGATACACCAATTGACCTTACACCAAACAAAAAGTTTATTTTAAAAACGAATACATTCCTTGAATTAATTAACGTTAACTGTATTCATTTCCAGCCAGTTTATACGAACTCCCCAGAATCCCCAACTCACAACACAAGCGAAGCATGAAGTAACGTGATTTTGCAGAGCGCCAGTCTGACAAAAATGATACCTAGGGTTATTTCATTTGCTTTCACAAATTATGAGGTGGTCAACAAGAAACGAACTGCAGTATGCAAAACATGCGGGTCAAAAATTACAGACAGAGAGGCTACAACATCCAACTTCGTTCGACATCTGAAGTTACACAAAGAAAGGTAAGTCGAGGCTAATGTATAGTGACTATAATGTCTAGTTAATATTAGCCTAATGGCTTGGCGAATTCTAGCTTGCTAGTTAAATCATGTGGCTGGAAAGTCATTTTGCATACATTGAAAAAAGTATTACGGGTTCCCACACAGATGTAAATCCGAAATAAGATGACAAATCTACTTTTAATCAGACAGCTAGCACTACAATGTGCTAACCTCGATCGCAGCAGTGAAATCGCAAGGTAACCTAACGTTACCGTTACTCCCGTCATTGAAATAGTTTAATTTACACTGATTACTGTGTAAACGGTTTATCTGTGTTTTGAGCCTGAGCCGAGACAGTCATTGCACCCAAGACATACACAGCTGGCAGATGGTAGCGCCATAATCAGGTCTTAAAAAAATAAACTTGAATGATCAGAATTGACTATATTGTATATGTGTTATACTATTGTATATATGATCAGATATTATGGTGTTACCTGGTGTTATTTTAAAAGCAGATTTGTACTGTAGTAGTTGGTTAAAGTGGAGATTTTTTTTGTATTGCTGTACCATTTTCAATGCAGTTAATGTTTATTTTATTATGAAACAGTCTGCTTATTATTTTTTCAATTAATTGGTTGTTTGATTTGAAAAATTCTGAAAATAGTGAAAAATGCCCTAAGAATTACCCAGTCCAAAGTAACACCTTCACTATAATTTTCTAAAGAATTAGTTACATTCTACCACTGGCTTTAAGGCATATTCCAACTTCTGATTAATATGAATACCTCTTACAGGTTTGAAGAATACCAGATGAATAAAAGCATCACAGTTGAACCCCAACAGCCTTCAATCTCACAGTTCATGGTCATCCCTGGTAACAAAAATAATGCTGTTGTACTGGGTTAATATTTACTTGGAAATGCAATGTCAGCACTCCTTTTTCTCTCTGATTAAGTTCAGTTGAACTTGCTGCTGTCAAATAAATACACCTTTTTAGAAGCATTTATAATTTCTGAAAATTATTTATTATTACCTAGTAATAAAATAACATATTTGGTCAAATGACTTGTTCAGGACTCGAAATTCAAAGTTTAGGACTTGGGACTTGACTCGGGACTTGCATGTCTTGACTTGGGACTTAACTCGAGACTTAAGTGAAAGGACTTGAGACTTACTTGTGACTTGCAAAACAATGACTTGGTCCCACCTCTGCAAGACTGATGATTCTGTTCTAACACGCTCTGATATGTTGCTAGCAACACATCTAACATGCTAACTCCACATTTCCCAAACCAGTCCTCAGAGCACACTGGACAGGTCCACATTTTTGTTTTATCCCAGTTCCCAGAACACCTGACCCAAGCAATCATAAACTCTACCTTACAGGTGTGCTGGGATCTGGAATAAAACAAAAATGTGGATTCGTCCAGTGTGCCCTGAGGACCGGCTGGGGAAACACTGCGCTAACTCATGATAAATCATAACCCAAGTTTTAACAGGGAATTCAGACTATTGGGATATTTATTACTACAGACATACAAGCATACTCCATAGCAGACAAAAGACTACAATCATTATGATTGTTATGATGCAATTTTAATTATTTATTTTTACAACATGCAAATAACTGTCTGTTTGGTTTTGTTATTCAGACAGAGTACAGGCACGGCACTTGGTTGGTAACTGCTTCTAATACTGTTTGTAATTTTAATAATCATTTCAAAACAAATTCCTTTTCTCTGCTGTACTGGAATTGCACTGACCCATGAATCCAAAACAGATTGGTACCAAACTGTGAATATTGTTTATCGTTGCACCCCTACTCAAGAGCACCGTGAGCGGACTGTCAATACGGCCGAAGCGTGTTCGACACCACTCACACCTAGCTACTACAACCACACGTTTAACATTAAGAACACCCCCCACCTCCAATTAATTTCAGATTTATTGCAGAGAATTGATGCAAATAACATTGAGGGATAGCCAACATGGATTTAGGAGAGGTAGATCCTGTTTAAC